CACATTGCTGGCTCATGGTCATCCTCCTGTCTACCAGGACCCCCAGGTCTCTTTCACCTACACTACTCTCCAGCAGTTCAGCCCCCAACCTGTACTGGGACATGGTGTTGTTCTTCCCCAAATGTAAAACTCTGCACTTCCCCTTGTTGAATTTCATCATGTTTCTCCCCGCCCAACTCTCCAACCTATCTAAGTCTCTCTGAATGGCAGCACAGCCTTCTGGTGTGTCAGCCACTCCTCCCAGCTTAGTGTCATCAGCAAACTTGCTGAGGGTACATTCTATACCCTCATCCAGGTCGTTGATGAAGATGTTGAACAACACCGGTCCCAGTACCGACCCCTGTGGGACTCCACTAGTCACACACCTCCAACCAGATTCTGCCCCATTGACTACAACTCTCTGACTCCTTCCTTTCAACCAGTTCCTAATCCACCTCACTTCCTGATCACCAAACCCATACCTGATCAACTTTTCTACAAGGATGCTGTGGGAGACGGTGTCAAATGCTTTACTGAAATCAAGATAAACCACATCTACCGCTCTACCATCATCTATCCACCTAGTAATTTCCTCATAGAAGGCTATGAGGTTAGTCAAACATGATTTACCCTTGATAAAACCATGTTGACTGCTCTTGATGACCCCCATGTCCTTGATGTGCCTGGAGATAGTGCCAAGAACAAGTTGTTCCATCACCTTTCCAGGGATGGAGGTGAGGCTGACCGGTCTATAGTTACCCGGGTCCTCCTTCTTGCCCTTCTTGTAGACTGGAGTGACATTTGCTATCCTCCAGTCCTCAGGCACCTCACCTGTTGCCCATGACTTACTGAAGATGATGGAGAGTGGCCTAGCAATGACCTCCGCCAGCTCCCTCAGCACCCTTGGGTGCATTCCATCTGGACCCATTGATTTATGGATGTCCAGATTACTCAACTGATCCCTAACCCAATCCTCATCTACCATGTCAAACTCTTCCTCTATCTTGACTTCTTCTGGGGCTATATGAATCTGGGGCTCATAGGGAGACCCTGCAGGAGTGAAGACAGAGGCAAAGAAGGCATTCAGCACCTCTGCCTTCTTTATATCCTCTGTCACCAGGGCTCCCACCTCATTCCTCAATGGGCCAATATTGCCTCTATTGCTAGTTTTGCTAGCTATGTATTTGAAAAAGCCCTTTCTATTATCCTTAACCTGACTTGCAAGGTTAAGTTCCAAGGAGGCCTTAGCTTTCCTAATTGCCTCCCTACATCCTCTGACAACAGTCCTATATTCCTCCCACGTGACCAGCCCCTCCTTCCATGATCTGTAGATTTTCCTTTTCCACTTAAGTTTGCCCAGTAGTTCCTTCTTTAACCATGCAGGTCTCCTAGCACCCTTACTAGATTTCCTAACCATTGGGACGCTCTGATCCTGTGCTTGCAAGAAGTGGTCCTTGAATGTTGACCAGCTATCTTGAGCTCCTTTATTTTCTAGCACCCTGTCCCATGGGATTTCCCTTAATAGATGATTGAGGAGACCAAAGTTTGCCCTGTGGAAGTCCAGGGTTCTGGTCCTGCTGGGTATTTTGTTCCTTCCACACAGGATCCCGAACTCCACCATCTCATGATCACTGCAGCCAAGGCTGCCATTGACCACCACTGCTTCAATGGTAGTTGTCAAGAATGGTAGTTGTCATCTCGTTTCACCAACTGATGTATGTTAACTTCTGTATTTTAACTCTGTGTTAAAAGAACTACTCAAAATGTTTTGAAAGTAGTACTTCCATATTTATCTCTAGTATTGTATTGTATTAATTAGATGATCCTGTAATTTAACTAGATTTCACTTTAGTAGTTTTCTTTCGGAATTGTTTACATTACTTAATATTGCCCCATCATACTAGGAGATATTATCACTACACTGATGCAATTTTTACATTATTAACGGGTGCCATTTAGCCACTGTGCAGCTTTGAATGCCATGACTGTAGTTGCTGCTGAAGTTCAAGTTCACAGTTCTATGGTTTAACTGCCTTGCTACTCTGGACAAAATGCAGCTTGGCTGAAGGTTATAGCCAGCATAAAGTTGGCCTGTTAGAGAGTGGATGTCATATGATATGTAGCCATTCAGTAAAACCTTGTAGTGAATCAGGCAAAGGCTTCAGTGGAATTGCTGATGGTTTGACCATAGTACCTGTGGTATAAGCTAGAATACCCCATCCAGATAGCTTCTGCTGCTAGTGAGCTTTAATGCCAGGTTTAAGTAGCTGTCACTTTAGCCACACCACTCAAGCTGCAGAAGGCAAAGGCAGAGACTGAAAGAAGGAACTGCTTGCTGTAGGAGGAGAGCCCATTGAAGAACATCTGAAGAACCTGAAAGCACACAAGTCCATAGGACCTGACAAGATCCATTTTCAGCTCCTGAGGGAACTGGACGATAAAGTTGCAAACCTGGTCTAGTGGGAGGTGTCCCTGCCCATGCAGGGGGGTTGTAACTAGATGATCTTTAAAGTTCCTTCTAGACCGTACCATTTTGTGGCTGAATCATGCCATAGGGATAATTTAACCCACTTTGTTTCCAAGCTGAAAATTAATTTTCAGTAATGTCTTTTAGCAGTATACAAAATACAGTTGTATTCTAAGCATGCATGTGTTAATGTACCTTGCTATTGGAATCTAGTGTGAGGGAGTATAGGTTGTGTGCATTTTCCTAGCCATCCAGTTACAACAGAGATGGAATCCAGGGGCTTCTGGCTCAGTGTTTTGCATCTCTATGAGTTTTCAAAAGTGAGGGAAGCTTTCAAAGCTGATGTGACTTAGGAGATCACATATTTTATACAACTAAATGAGCATTCAGAAAAGTTCATTGGGTAACGTTGTACCTTGAGGAGGAAGCATCCATCATGCTTAGCTCAGATGAAGGCAAAAAGGCTTCATTGGTACTTTCGCTAACTGTCAAAACAGAGTAGTATTGAAATAGATGGTCAATGAGTAAGTCACTGGTTGTGGAGTTCTTTTCATTGACCTTCTGGGTTGTGGATTTCAGGATTATTTAAATATAGCTAAAAAATATTTTTCCAGAGTCTAGGGCATGCTAGTGTCCTGCATCAGCATGTCTGTTTTAGAAATAGTTTTGGTTTGGTCTTGTTGGAGAGGGGATTGTGTTAGATTGTCTTCTTCATACAGTTTTTTTGCAAGCTTTGGGTCAGCACTTCACTGCAAGTGGTAAGAGCTGAGTGTCTTTTTTTATATAGCAAATCTGTCTCAACCTTAGATGCTATTTAGAAGCTGTTTCAGGAAGTACATTTGTACCTATATGGTCTCCTCCCAGCTACTCTGACAGCATGGAAAATGCCACAATAAAGTTCCTCTGACTTTGGCCCTGAGATAATGGGTAAAAAAATAATCTATAATAATTTGTATTAAAAATTGTTGATTCCATTCAATTCTTTGTATTCATCAGGGTGGATGATGCATTTTTTTTGTTTCCTTTTATCTTTTTAATTGTTTAAATAGTTTCAAAGACCAGACTATTAATGTGTAATCTTTACTGATTTGTCATGGACTTTTCTAGTTGTCCTCCAGCTACTATACTTTACAGGTTTTGTACATTATCTGTATTAAAGTTGCTGATCTCTGGTAACAGGGCTTGTCTCTTAATCTTTTTTTTTCTTTAAAAAAAATGGGGTTATGTTTGAAGCTTCCTGATGATAAAGAATCTGTTCAAACTCCCATGAACTTTTACAAATATCACTTAAGCGTTCACTGGTTTCTTTGCTTACTTCCTTCAAAACTTTGTGTATTTATGTTATGCAAACTATGTTAATCTAACCTTTGCTGATAACCAGCTTGGTTGTATGTTCAGCATTTTGTTCCCACTATCACCCAGAAATAATTTCATGGATGGACTGATTGTAAATATCTATCTTTGCACATATTTACAACTTCCTGTGAGAGGCGAGTGAACAAGGTAGCATTTTTGAAGGATATTAAGGCTCTGTTTTAATTTTCAGGTACTTGTAACTTTAAACTTTTTTGTTGTTGTTATGTTTTGGTTTTTTTTAAGTCATTACTTTTGCTGAAATTGTAAATAAAATAAATCTCTTAGCCAGGAAAGCAGATACCCACATTTCATCCACATAACCCTGAAAATTCTGCTCTGCTACTGTAACGACCAACATGTGCCTCTTACTATGAGTTATTTGATCACTTTCTGCATGTCACGCTTGTGAGAATGTGAGGAGTATTTTCATTTACAAACATATATATATATGCATATTATAATATTTTATATGCATATATATAATATGTATGTTATTTTCTGGTTTACTGCTTTCTGCTATGTCTCATACTTTTCTATTTATTCTGTCTTTTATTATTGTTTTGGCCTGAAGATCTTAACTTTCATAAATCTTTTGTTTTCTAACTACAACTTTTCTGTGTATGTTTTATTATTAACAAGTTAAATTGTCCTTAATAGATGTAATTATTCACGTTTCCTACTTCCTTTCCTGTCAGGCTTCCAGCACAGTCTGTTCTTCCTGCTATGACTGTCTTTTTACAAATCCAGGCTGCAGAATGTATTTACATGTCTTCACCTTCATGCTGTGTCCTGCTGTAAACAAACTAGGCTAGAATTAGCAACCATGGTTTTTCTTCTGCATTTACTTCCTTATCCATAGTTCTAATTCTTTTGGCGTCTTTTTACTTTCACCATTTCTCTTGGTGTCCTTCTCTACTTCCTTCTCTGCTTCTTTCTCTTTACTGTTGGTATCTGTTGTTACATCTGCACTCCTTTGACAGGCAGTACATTGTTATTATTCTCTTTATTATTTTGGCTGGGCAGTTTGTTCATTGCTTTTCTTGTGTATGTGTCTGCAGAAACAATCAGATATTTTAAAATTCTTGATCAATTTTATTTAATTAGTCATTATAATAAAGTTCTGGTTTGTTGTTAGTAATTTTTCTTCTCACTTTCTCTCTGTATTTATGGTGGGGTTTCAATGTTTTTCATATTCTAGGCACAACATAGGCTTTCCCATTGTAGAATGTTCCTCTGAAGGAGACTTTATTCTTTCCAAACCACCAGACACAGGAGGACTAATTTCTTTTGGTACTGTAGCTGAACAGTTGGTGTATGAATTGGGCAATCCTCAACGCTATCTTTTACCAGATGTCACGTGTGACTTTTCTGAAGTTTCCATCACTGAAATTCCAGGTTAGTCCTCTTAAGTGCTAAGAGATCTGTGTCAATGAATTGGGTTATTGGACTGAGGCAATTACATTATTTCCATGTTTCCTCTGCGTATTTCTTGTTAAATCAGTTCCTTAGGTTGTGGTGCTGTATTTAACAGATTTTTGAAGGACTTCTGCTAGGAAGTCCTTCAGAAATTTTAACTATACTCTTATTTATGATGCTGTTTGACCAATTTAAATCTTTGATTGCTACTCCTTTTTTCTTTTTAATGCACACCTTGGACCTACCAAGTCTTTAAGTTTTTCTTAGACATTTAGGTAGATCATACTTAGTTGTAGAAGAATGCTTAGGTACGGAATTTCTGCCAGAGAATCTGTCTTCAAAAAAGTCCATTTGCTATCCTCAGAGCTCTCAAGCCAAAAGACTGAAGTAAATATAACGTATGTTATGGATTTAGCTTTAAAAGCAAAACAAACAAAAGAACCCCAGGCTAAAAAGATTTGGAGATCTGTAGGTTGGATAAGACAGCTTGAAAAAACACTTAGCTGCAGTCATTTGAAGTTTGTTTTTTACTGCAGCTGTATTATATATCCTTTTTCATTCTATTGGAACTTATCTGTGACAGTATGCAGAGTGTCTTTATAAAACTTAGAATAATCAGTATCTCCGTTTATAAATTTAATGTGATAAAACTCAAAACACGGTAGCGTCAAAAACAATGTGCTTCAATAATAGAAGTACTGTAAGTTGTACAGTGAACCTTCTGCTCGTGCAGCATAAGCAAATGGCAGTCTGATATGGCCAGCTTGCTACTCTTAGTCACTGGTCTATATTTAAAAAAAAAAAAAAAAAAAAAAAGAAAAAAACCCGTAACCTTCCTGTGAACTTTCAGCTTGCAAATGACCCGATATGACATGTTTGAACTTTAAATGAACTTTCGCATGAACTTTCAGTTAGCCCTCTTAGAAATATAACAGATGGAAAATGGGCAGATTTCTTAAATATTTTTAGTTTGAAGTGCTTTGACACGTACACCAGTAAAGACAGGCATGCTATCTATTTTTGCTGTTTATGTTGCCAATTTTATTGTCCTGCTGGATTACTTGCAGTGTTTAAACCAAGAGATACTTCTGTTTTCTTTTTGTCAATGAATGCTACATACTTTGTTTTGTGGGTTTTTTTCTTTGTATTACTCCTTCATGTGAAACATAATTGTTCCAAAACTTCACCCTGATTGTAGGGATATTGTTCTGTACTGAGAGAATTAAATTAACCTTACATGAATCTTGCAGAAGGAGTCATGATGTTATTTGAGTGACACGTAAAATTTCTGCTAGTCAGATTCACTTTTGCAGATAGAATCTTATTTAATCTATTCAGAATATTTGTGTAAAAACTTTTAACTTCTTCCTAAATACTTGGAAGCATAGGTTAGGAACAGGTGAGTTACAGTATAATTCTGTCTGTCTGACATGAGGTGCCTGCCCTGCTGATTTTCAGAGTCATATCTATGGATTTTTTGCAGTTCCAGCTCCAGCTTGATGGCATGGCAACAATTCTCCAGTTTCTTTTGGGCATTAATATTCCTAATACTGAACATGGTAGTTGCCTTGGAACATACATTCAGACTGTTCTTTTTCTGTTATGCGTTCACTTACTAAGCTAAAAACTGGCAAATTAGCTGTCCCTGATTTCTCATCTTTCTTGTTCTGCTTCTTTGCCAGCTGAAGGACTGCAGTCCACTCTAGCCCACTACAGTAAATTGTATTCTTTGTGTGTGTGTGCCATAACTGGCTGTTAAGTGAAAAATAACTCTGGAGTCTGAAGTCGTAAGACTGCTTTCTGTGTTAAGTATTTTTTAAGTACATGAGTAAACATTTCAAGCATTCTATTAAAAGGCTCATCGAAGTAATAAATTTAGTCACCAATTTGCTGTTTGAATTTCTAAGATACGGAGGACTGTTTCATGAAAGATTCTGTATTCTGTGGCAAGACAGCTATTAATTATTTGATTTTTAATTAAATGCATTTGATTAATATGTATCAAAGAAGAATGTCTTCAAAGTTACATTGAAGAATCTTAAAAACTGATTTTTAACCTCTCTAGGTTTTGATGGTGGGGCAGTGAAAGTTCAGGGAGCAAAAGGATCACCTCCTTCAACATTTTATAAGGTATTATCTCTTTCTGTGGAGAGTAAGTTGTCTGAAATACTCTGTTCAAAGGAACCTGCACTTCTAGTACAATTATGAAATTTGATGTTTGTTGGTCTTCTGTGGATTCTCATATCCTGAATGCATGCTATGGGAATACAGTTCTGGTGAAGTACCAGTAGGGCTGGGTCCTCTTCTCAGTTAAACTAGTGGCAAAAGTGGCTTTTATAGAAGCAAGGTTGAGATCAGAAATTACTTGCTTAGCACAGCTGTATCAAAAGCAAGGTAACCTAAGCAGTAAATTGTGCTAATATTTCTGTTTAAATAATATAATGTATGCCTGAGCCTAGTTTTTCTTTGAAACTTTTTACTGCATTTTAAAAAATACTTCTAAAACTTTAAAAACCAATTTTATATAAGACAATTTCAGTTTTTAAAAATATGGTATTCCAAGATTAATAATAATACCGCCAAAGCAGGTTTGGTTTGGGTGCAGTTAGAATGGAAGAGCTCTTTAAATGCTCTATAGTTGAAGCATACTGACAAAGTATTTTTAGAATCAAGCAGTATGCCATGGGTCACTTTTCTCATGCACAGTAAGTTTTTCACTTGTGTCATCTTTCTGTAGGAGTGTTTCTATCGGCTTCATGGAAAAAAGGGGGTTGATATTTTTACAGGATTGTGGGAGTGTAATCTGAACATGCATTTTTCTAAATTTCACCTAATACAATGAAGTGTTGATTAATTTTTTTTCCCTTTTCATAGGCTGCCTACAATTTCACTATAGTATTGTCTAGTCAGCTTTTTGCACTTCCTCAGAATTGTAATTATGAGTTTGAGTTCCACTTGCCTAACGCTGGAAGAAGAAATTTCCTTTCTCTGAGTGATCAGCACCTGCATTATTTGCATGTGGGAATAACTGTGGGTTTTTTTAATCTGAAAGTACATTTGTGTCATGTTTAGAAGCAATTCCTAAAATGGCATAGGATAAAGAGCATCCTTTTTGTACAAAACAGCAAATACCATCAATCAAATGACAGATACTCTAATGCTCTTATTCCTGTAGTTAATAGTGGTATTTGATATGGGCAAATACAGCAGGGAGGTCGTGTATGAAGCCAAAATAAGTTTTTCCTCCTTAGTCCAAGTGTGCAATTTGAAGCAGAGTAATTTTTGCTGCTCGGCAGCAACTTTCAGTGACTGTTTTGTTCAGGAACTTTGTTGTCCTGCAGTTTTTGTCCTTGACTTTGCATCTCCATATTTCTGTATATCTGAAGAAAGTACACTGAGGTATGAGATTTTCGGTTGACAAACCGTGAAATATAATAAACAAAACAGAATGAGAGGGATTTTTTTTTTACACAGCAGTAAAATATTTACTTATTTTATTTTTATTGTGTTTTAGGTAGGACATTTGAAATTTACATGGTTAGGAATATTTTAATATATCTTACGTTTTTTATATTAAACTGTGTAATGATGCTCTAAAATACTTAAGTTAGACTTCCTGTGAAATATTACCATTTTTTTGAAACTGTGTATTGGTTGGTAGTGATAAATGAACATATGTTTTGCTTACCTGTTTTAGAAGTAGTTTTTAGGAAATTAACTTGGCATGTTCAGCTTGGCTAAGAAGTGACTGAGTGGGCATTATAACAACCTAGACATATTTTAAGGGTGTGTTACATCTTTCAGCAACTTTACAATCAGTGAAGATAATAATATAAATTGCTATATTAAAGGTGAAGTGTAGTTAGAAAAGTAGTGGTAAGAATAAGTGAAATATGAGGTAAATATCGGGGAAAATAATGATTAATATTTTACCTGTGAAATAGCTTCTCAAAAGAAATAGCTGAAACACGGGGACATTTAAAAGTAGGCTGGGTAAAGTGCTTGAAAATATACTGTAGGAAAAACATTTTTAGTTGTAGAGAGAGATGCTGAATGGCTTACCAGGTTCTTCAGTTTCTATTTTTGTTTTTCTGTGAGGTAACAAATGTTGAAAATACTCAATACAGTTGTATAGATCTGCTAAAGATTTTCTACTACTTACTGCCATGCATTATGGTCAGTACTTTCACTGTATTACAGCTCTGCGAAGAAGCTGAAACACTGGACAAATGCTTGCAATATGTAGCATGTTCTTGTGTGTGTGTATGTGGTATTTTTCCACATTTACTTTAATGCTTCTGGGAAACTTATGTCTGATCTATTTCACTATGATAGATTACTCAGCTTTTCAACATCAGAACATGCCCTATATGCCCAAATAGGTAAGTAAAGGAAAATTTAAAGATGGTAATGAGAAGTGATTCAGAGTTTCACAGTTATGAAGATCTGAATCTTCCTCCAATAGAATATTGAATTTTAAGTAACCTAATAAATTTTTGTGATGATGATGATGATAGTTTCTTGTTATTCTGCTTCTGCTGAATGTATAGATAACTGTTGTCGGAGGGCATTTGTAGCGTATTGGTGCTGAATACCATGTAATTTCATAATCCCTTTATTGTTAGGTAAATGCTACTTATCTTGATGGCTTCAGAGCTACTGCTGTCTGTCCAGTGGGAGGTCCAAAGGCAGTACAAAAAGGAAAACGCACTGCAGAAAGTATTCTGCAAAGGTTGGTATTTGAGTCTTGGAAGGGCTTTTTTGCTTTTGTTTTCAGAGAGGATGAAAATAGAACTGTGACGTATGTTGGCAACCATATTAGCCTTCTCAGAAGCTAGAAGATTATAATATTCCAGCTGGGAGGACATTTCAAGACTTTAAATACCCTATTTAGGAATCCCGTTTTCAATGTATAACTACACTTCAGCTACATTTGATAGTCAGAAAGGTTTAAAGTTTTGTTGAAGATAGATGGCTGCACAGCAGAAGGAAACCCAAATTAATGAGGAAAAAGCTGTGATTAAGATTAACATTTATTAGGTGCCAGAGAGAAACCCATGTGAAACTTTTTCACCGATTTTCACAGAATTGCTCTTTATCAGAAGTCTCGGTGCTATAAAATGTAGGCAGTTTACCAAGTTTGTGTTTTAAACAAAATTATCTTAATACCTTGTAAAATGTGACTATTTTTGCTAGAACAATTTTACAACTGTAAGACAGCCTGCTAAGACTTCAGTCATGTTGTCATGCCAGTACATTTAGGTGAGGAGGGATTCCTCTTAAATACAGTTGCATATCCTCGTGGAAGCCTCTGAACATTTACTCCAGTAGCCCTGATCTTTCTAGTTATGAGATCTGTCTTTTTGTGCCATGTTTTAGATATAAGTTCACACTCCCCCCGGCCCCACATTGTATTATAGTCCCATGCAGCAATTACACTAGGATGGACACCTGTCAGAAATACAAGATTTACTGTGGCATTAGAGTGACTTACTGCTCATGTACAGCACTGTGATGGAGGAGACTGTGACTTCCCTCAGGAGACATAGCAGATGAAAGTGGGCTGATATGGGATGTGTAATTAAGGTATGGAATCCCATTCTTCAGAGTGGTGCAAATGCTATAAATATATTTACGTGTCCAAGAATACTCAGAAAATCAATGAAGAAAACCCTTCAAGAGCTGTGAACCACAAAGATGCAGGGATTTAGAGGTCCCTGAAAAACAATCTTTTCAGAAGCTAGATGATTATTTTGGGGAAAAAAAAAGAATTAAAAAAAAATATATATATAATGTTGTATTGTGTCTTTCATGTTTACTCTTGGACATGATTTCAGACCAGACTACATCAATCTTTTGTCTGACTGAAACAGCTTGTGTTGCTGCTACTGTGACCACTAGAAAATTAATTCAGCCTGCTTATTGTGCTGTCCTGAGTGATCCTCAGAAGAGGACTGATGGAAGATAGCTAAAGGCTGGTAAACTGGCTTGATAAGTGGCCTCTAGCCTGTGAGGCATGCCTGGAGCAGCTCTGGCACTATGTGTTAAAAATCACAATATACAGTATTGACCATCAATATATTCTCCATCTCACAGTTTTAAACAGCTTAATATGTGTGGAATAATTTCTTCAGCATGTTTGAAAGATTTGTGTATGTCAACCCAGATATAGAATAAGAGTTAAGCTATTCTCATCACTGTCAGAAAATGCTTTACCAGAAAATATGTATCTTTAGAAAACTCTGACTTCAGTCTTTCCACCAATACCTCTTGCAAGAGAATGTCCTTAAGGATGTGATCTTTTGGGTAGCCAGCTACCAGTCTGCTCTTCGTTAAATTCTGCCTGGTAGTTTAATGGCAACAGATACAGAATAAGGTGTACAAATTTAAGGTGCTTCAGTTTACACAGGTACATATCAAATTAGTTGGCAGCCTAAGAAAATAAGCAGCTTTGGCAGCTGGTAATATGACTTGTTTCACCTCTTTCTTGGATGCTCCTCCTTCATTTGTTTATTCATTTTTAAAAGCAGGAACGATTTGGCAATATGTGGTGTGAAGCAGTCTCATTGGAGTTACCTTTGATGTCCTTTTAATTTTTATGGTTGCATTACCAGACACATGAAAGGGCTAAAAATTACCCACAGAATATATTTGGACCTCTAGTATATCTAATGGTAATGTTTGTAGAGAAATTTAACTTAAAATAGTGTACTATGGACACCGTTTGCAAATTTAGGTACCTTAAATCAAGTATGTCTTTTTGTGGTCATCAGAATAAAAGTAACTTGATTTGTGGTACCTGGGTCACCTTCATCTGTTTATAGAAATTAGAAATTGAAGTTTTATCTTGAAGTCCTGTAAACTGCTTCATTTTTCAGGAACCATGCTAATACGTACAACAACTTGGGTATATTACCAGTGTTTTAAAAATGTTCTGCTGCTGAAAAATATTTTTCTCATCCTATTGTAACTGCAGTATTTCAACTGCAAATTTTTTTTGTATACAGCTGGAAGGGTAATGGGCCAAGATTATTGGCAAAATGTTTAGGTGCTTCAGAATGCAACATATTTTTCCAATCTGCGACATGTAAATGAGTTGAACTATTCTTAACAGTTGGATTATTTTAAAAACTTTTAAATAACTTTTTTTACTGTTTCTTTTCTTTTATTTTGGACTTTGAATTATGTTTTGATTTTGTTTGTTTTTTAATATAGCAGTCATTTCCAGTTTGAGTGCTTGAGAGTTGAGCTGTTTACAAACAGCCTATCTAATCCAGATTTAGTATTCATCAAAACCCGGTATTAATTCCTGGGTCTCTTAAGGCAGTGTGGGTTTCATGGTGTATAAAAAGAAGGTACTGTTCATCCTCATTATTTATCATAATTGGACAAGCTTGGCATTCTTCACACCTTGGGCTTTTGGTTGGACGGGTTTCAGTGCCAGGCTGGAAACGCATAAGTAATGAAGAAACAGTCTCTTTAGAAACTTCATCTACTTTTTTTTTTTGGCATTTGTGTCAAATGACCATTAATCCAAAATAAATACCTTTAATGTTTAAATGAAAGTTCCTCCGTCAGTTTGATTTTTCTTTCATTGGTAACTGTGATACGAGGTAGTTTTATGTATTTATTGGTAGTTCATAATGCTTTGCACCAGGAACAGAGTTAAGAACTGAATTACCAGTATGGAAACCACTAAGATTGCATGTACAGCTATTACATTTCAAGTTGTCTTTGTTTTAAACATTAAAATAAGTGTTGAAATCCATGTATTTGTCTTTGCCTGTCATCTTTCAAATAACTCAAATAACTAAAAGCGTCAATTTTAAACCTAGGGATAAATTCAGAGGCATAACTTCCTTGTTAGTAATTGCTTGATTTGTAGTATTCAGATATACTTTAGTTTGAAGTATTCACAGTCCAGCTTATGTGGCAGAGCTAACTCCTGTGGACCACACAGGGCTTCTTCTGATAATCCTTTTGAGGCATTTTACTAATAAAAAAAACATTTGTTGCAGGACTCGTCTTATTTTCAGTCAGCTTGGGTATGAAGATTACAGTGCAGTTAACATACAGATTTTAGGGTCTGAAGATACATATGGACCTCATGCTAGAAGGAGTATAGATGGTGTAAGTATTCAGTGGAGTGTTTTTAAACTTTTACTGACCTCTTTTAATCTCTCCATATTGTTATCTTTTCCACAGCTTTTAAGGAAGTCGCTGTCCTCTTGGGAATTTCACCCCATCATCTTGCAAAGAATTCAGTGTCACTACTCACTGTACAAAATCAAGACTGACAAGGTCTTTACAGTATTGGGTCTTCCAAAAGCGCTGATAGGAAAGCTTACAAAAATGATGTTGTAGTCTCCTCTAATGTTGTTAATCTAAATAAATATCTTCTTATAAAAGTTCCTACGATGTAGACTTAAATTGTGTTAGATGTAATTCTAAAAGACCACATTATAAAAACTGCAGTCAGTAAATGGCAGAATTATTGTGGCCAGTGCAACTCTTAAAACTGTCTGTGAGTACTATTTATGAAGCAGTCTTCAACTGTATAATTCTTCATTGTATTTTGTGACTGAATAAATTAGTATGTAAAAATATGAATGATGGCCATAGCCACTGCAGCTGTGATATCCGTGGTCTGTTTTCCTAATCTAGAATATGGAAGTTCTTTTTAAAGGAAAAAGACTGTACACCTTGTCCTCAGTTATATTAACTTTTAATATTTAGATAGTTTTGTTTGTTCCAGAACAGTAGCATCTAATTATTTTTCAATGGCAGTCTTGCAGAATTCTTTAGGTACATGTGGCAAAACTCGGCTCTGAGTTTGATCTTAGCAGCACCAACACTTACAATAGCCAACAATTTGTATAGGAAATGGGAACGTGATGTGGAGAAAACCAGCAAACTTTTTACTATAGAAATTTATTTCTTAGAAATTGGGCAAGTTGTATCTGCAGCTTTTTAGTTAATGCTTGGGCTTCAGTTTCATTCTGCACAGCAGCAAGAGTTGCTTTCTGATAAACCAGTTTTAAAATGTGGTATTTTTCCTTTTAAGACCCTAAACCTCCAATGTTACGTGTGCCACTCACATTGCAGAATTAAAATTCTGAAACAGAGGAACAGATGATCCAGATATTGAATTTGTTTGCCTTCTTTTTGTACCAGCTCCTCATGATTCTGCATTCTTAACACACTCCATGTAACAATTTAATTAAAGTTTTCTATCTCACTTTATATAGTGAATATTGATTTTGAAAAAGAGCAGTTTCTTCTTCCTTTTTATTAGTTTGTCTTGTGCATAGTTCATTAAATAAATTTTCCAAATTAAATGGAGGATTTTTAATTTCCAGCCTCAAGTCCTAGGTCTCAGAGTAAAAGTAAATAGAGTTTTATCTCTGTTGCATGTGCTTCGCATGCATGCCTGAAGTAGGATGTGAGGGCTGAGGCTGAAATACAGGAAGTCACTCTGTTGCCTTCCCTCTTCATCCTGTTCTCCAACAGTTTAGAAGAAACTAACCAGAGGAGTTTTCCTCTGGAAAGCATATACAGTAGCTTGAGAAAAAGGGGTATGGAGTGGAGTTTGCTTTTCCATTTAGAATACAAGGTCACAGAATGCTAAGGAAAACATCTGCTTGTTGGGGCTTCAAGTAGGAATAATGTGGTCTCTTAAATGCTCTTCTCTGCTCTGTCTTTCCATACAAAATTAGACAACTGTTTGGGTTGCAAATATTAGTGCTGAAAAGCAGAGCTATGCATGTTAGTATATTAAGGAAAGCAGTTCTTGATTTGAAGATTCTACCATTTAAATTTAAAGAGGAGAAGCAAATATGTATGTGAATAATACCAAGACAGAATAAGTTGAAGAATATCTGGATCTTAGTCCAGCCACACCAGACATCTGCATTAATTCTCACACGGGTCTGTCAAACTGGGTGCAAATGTTTGCCTTTGCAACTGTGAAATCACTGTATATCTGAGGCTTATGGAAGCCTCTACACTATAGTCTGAGCTACTGTGTGGAGTATTCACTGATCTGACAAGACAAAGTATCCTAGTGAAATCAAGAAATGCTTCCCTGCTTTTCTTTCTCAGCCTTCCCTGCCTGTTTACATGGTTGCTGCTCTAAAAGCTTGCTTTGTCAGCAGCAGCCCAGCGTGAGCAAGAAAGGGACCTGAATCAGCACTAAGTAAGCCTAGTGGTGGTTAATTTTTAATATTTCCTGCTCTGTGGTTTTCTGTTGGGGAGTAAGAAGAGATTATGACAGTGTCACAGCATTAATGAGTTCATGGTTTAGAAATACCTTTCACATGAAACATATCCCGTATCTATTAATAGTACATCAGGTATTAGAATTTGCTATATAAAAACTGCATGTGCTGTGTGTGTTAGTTTTCTACAAACCATTTGTTAACCAATTTACAAGGTATTTTAGGTGACTTGATGAACTTTGGTTTGCTATTTTTTTGTTTTAATTATGATACTGTAAGATAAATTACTTCAAAATAGTCTTTATATCCAGTTCTAATACTGGATTCACCCACTCAGAGCAGAATTCAGCTTACTATTTTCTTGGACCATTGTATATCACATCTGTGGGCAAGTACATAAACTTAGAACTGTAATGTTGAAGATGTGGTAAAGTTTGCAGCTAGGAAGCAGATATGAATGTGTAAGCATGTTTTCTGCAAGAGTATTTATTATTATTTGTAGTAATTCAGTTAAACTCTTGGTAACTTTGGGAACACTGATTGTAAAAATAAGTGTGTATGGCATGGCTGCATATTTTCTGTGTAGCAGCATTTTTTAAAACAAATTTTTAAATTGCAAAATTGATTGGCTTCTTATGTATATTATCTTGATCAGGACATCTGCTTGTATATTCATAGAAGGAAATTTCTGTTATGTCAGTGATCCATGAGAGAGAAATAATCTTTCAACTTCATGAATATTGGAGACTTAGATTTAAACTAAACCAAGAAGGCCATTTAGTATTGAGTTTTAGCTGATTGCCAGCTGTAAATTTAGGAAGTTTTCCTCCCTTGGTATAAGCTGACATAAGTGAGCTTGTTCTTGTTGGGATTTTGCTGTGTATTTGAATTGGAATAGAGGATTTAGGAGGCTGTTAATGTTCTGTTTGGGATACTCTTACAGTAGCCAGAATGCTTAGTGCAGGGTATTACAACATTTACAATAAAGACCATTTCAGCAGCTGCCAGTAGGAAAGGCATCCCTGTTCCTGTATTGCTGAAGTTACTTAACTGCCTGAAATTGACTTAAGGATTTTGAATGTTGACATGTTCAACAGTATTGCTTTTGTGGAAAAAATAATTGTATAGGTACAGGAAAATTACAGTAATATACAAGACTACAGTATTTAAAAAGCTAGCATTAAATTAGCTGGTTTATATAATGTTTTTAAAGAATGTAGCTTTACTGAAAAGTGAGCAATTAAAATGAGTGACAATAGAGTTAGGAGATGTGTTTAAAAAAATGTGCAATTTAGAAGTTCAGATCCAACATGTAGTTTCTCAGGTAATTCTGAAGAGGAAAAAAAAATATTTTTTAAGTTTAAAATGTTAAGTCTTAACACTGGATGGGGAAGGAAGACTTTGTTTCTTTATGATACTGTTAAATTTCCTAAAATTCTAATGAGTACATTTGTTTTTTGATAGGCATAATAGTGTAGCATGTTTTACTGCCAGCTGTGTAAATTGACAATTGCTTCAGGTACTTTGAGAATTGTTTTTGATGTGACTTCTAGTTCTTGAAATCATAGGCACACATTCAGCTTTAGGTGGTGAATAAACATCAAAACATACAACAAGATGGAAGAAACTTGATTTTGTTTGGCCACAGCTTTAATTCAGTTAATGTAACAACTGCCTGCATACAATATCAACTTCTAAGTGTTAATCTTTTCTCTCCTTTTCCTGTGTATTAGAGGGGAGATGCTATTTGCATGAAAGGGGTTCTTCTGTCTTTTCAGTGTTAAGTCATGAAAAATGTGGTTCTGTGTAGCATGGTGCTGTTCCTTAGCCCAGAGGAAAGAGGCCTCTTAAGGAGTCATTGTTCCATTCTTGTTCTCTGACAAAAAAAAGTGTCCTCCCTGCTCCACACCTCAGCCTCTGCCTTTTGAAGTGGGGGCTGTTGAATTCTAGCAGCATCTGTATCTTTCCTGTCTGCTGAGTATTTAATCTAATATTTTCAGAAATGTCACTGGTTTGTGTATTCATAAAGTAATACACTTTCTGCTAAAATCTGTTAACACTGTTACAATAGGAGGAAAACTGTTACTTAAAAATATTATTCATCATTTTATGCACAATTGGGAAACTATTAAATGCTTCCAAAATTACTATATATAAGGTTAAAAGTTGGTATAACTTTAAACATCTATCTTCATTTCCTGCTATAGCAAACATCTGGCATGGATAGAGAAATAGTTGAATCTTCTAAATTCCAATTGTTCCTTTCTTCCAGGAGAATGTCCTCTGCAATGTCCTAAGTAGCTCTATGTTCAATTTTACTTTACTTTTCTACATTTTTAGTAGAACAGCTACCAAATCCGCAAAAATTCTTCAGACAGGTCATTCAGAGAGTTGTGAAGTCCTTTGAGATTTGTAGAGTAACAAAAAAAACCACACCTCTACCCCAAACTTTGGTTTGATTTTCGTGCTTTCATGCATACATCCTTTTCTCTTGACATAAAAGGGACATAAGCATTGGAAGAAATCCCCTGATATCTTGTAGTTCAGTCCCTTTTCTTTGCATTTTATGTTGGTTAAAGTAAACTAAGAATTTCATGTAAGGTTACCAAGGAACTTCCAAAGAGCTGACTGCCTGTTTAAAGAAATAGCTTGCTGCAGGACTTCATAGTGGAAGTACTGCTGTGTAAGGAATTCCTGACCATTAAATTTTGAGATTTTGTGCAGTTCTTTTCCATATCTATGATGGAAATAGTTGTGCTTGTGCTTTAGGACAGTTATTAGACACTTTGAGACAAAGTTGTATTTTAAGCAGGTTTAACCTTTTTAGAGATTCAAAGATAGACTAAAGGTGGATGCACATTTTTAATAAATACAGTCTTTGCTTTAAGTAAGACCTAATGTTCACTCTAAGGC